AAAATCTATACTAATTTTTAATTGGTTTTGTGCTTCCATTGGGTACAAAATTAAAGGTTGTCAAGCTATGCCCATGTGAAGAAAAGATTTTCCACTTAATTGTGAAAACGTCTTGATGCACATCTAAATCCTTGTTGATATGATGAGACATTGTCACTTCCAATGCATGTGTCACCCTTAATTACTATTCAGGTTCAGTATGATACTGAATGTCCTGGAATTTCAGGTATGTTGTCGTTTCAGACCACAAATGTGGCCAATCTCACAAACGTGAGGCCACCTGCAAAACACTTAAGCAAATACTAAAACCTCAAATGCTAGCCACCTAGATCATAGTTGGACACTTCATGATTATGAAATAAAATCTTCCACAAGGAAAATTACAAACATGTAGTCTATGAAACTGAGCTCCAGAACGCTGCTGACCTCACCAGAGCCAACATTTGTGCTAAAGATGGATATCCCTCAATTATCAATAGGAATAGTAATGAGTATACATGGTAATTGTATTCTTGTTACTGGCATAGTGAAGACATGCTCCCATCTGTTGAAGATATTTTACCTTATCCTGTGGAGAGACAGAATGTAGGTGTGAAATTGCCTGTTGTGTCACATATGCATGTGTGTCCCTTGTATACTATTTCACACTATGGGAAAGCTGGTACCTTTTTCTTCTGAGGTTGCTTTGAAATTTATCATGCTTGGAATAATCTAGAGAGCAGTTGAGTTTGAGGGACATCAGTCTTACTGGTGCCTAAAATTTCCAAGGAAAATAATCTTAGAATCTTCCTTTGTAATTAGTCAATATGGTTAATATGCTCCTTGTTGGACATATTAATCTGAATATAGCACACACTAAATTGGAGTCATGAAAAGAGAATGGCACCACTTATTAGTGGTGGATGCTTCCAAGTGCTTGACTACAAGCTGAGTCAAGTTTTGCAAAATCTTTGGCCTTCAGATGTTTTCTGTGGCTCTTTCTCCCACCCTGTAAAACCGGTTCCATTTGCTAATGGTAACTTGCTGTCTAATAGTGATTCCATCATCGCTCAGTAAAATGCCTAAGTTTACTTGGACAGACCAGGAAAACATTAGACTGTCTTCCATGAGCTAGAATTATGCCCTAACTATCTTACATGAATATGAATCAGTTTAAATTCCTAAAAGGTAGTGTTCAGTAGTAGTAAGGAGATCAGGATCTGATGGTCGTAAGGTTATTTCTAACCTCGAGTCCCACCATTCTATTGTTCTGCTTGCCTTTGAGTGGCCAAGGCCTTAGTCCCTCTATATAGGGACTAGGACTTCTGCCATTAACTTCCCTGGGATCAAGATCAACTTCTGCTTTGCAAATAGTAAAGCATTATGCAACTACAGTAAGATACTTGTGTAAGTGTAATTAGATCAGGATGAGCTGCATTCTCCTTTCCTCAGGGAGTTATGTACAGTACCTTGATTGGAAGAGGAGACAGATTTAACCTGATTGAATTGTTAAATGGAAATATAAGACAATGAACATTAGCCACTTAGTTCATTTCATAAATTCTACTAATTAAAACTGCATGTGCAATAATAATGGCTATTCCAGATATCTAAGTAAGAAAAATGCACCTTTGATATGTTGTGGCACAGGCATAATGAAAACATTTAGTTAATGGAGGATCTATGTAATAAGAGTTACCATACAGAACCTGCAGTTGGAAATATATAAACACGTTTCCCAACAGAATTTCACTACGTCACAATTCATTATGAAAATTGGCAATAACTGACAAGATAGGCACAAAATGGATTTTCATGTTGCTGGGGTAAAGAATGGCTCCCAGCAATTAATGGTTTTAGTCATATTAAGCAGATAAATAATGCTATCTGACACTACAGTATTTCACATTACACTAAAATTTTGTAACATTTGCTCATAATATGACTTGAAATATGTTACCTAGGAAAAAAAATGTTATCTCTGGAACAGTCAAACCCCATTAGAAACCTTAGGCTTGAAAAATCACAATGTTAACAGTTATATCCCCTAGCAAAGGTTTGCTTTCCTTAAATAGTGTTAAATTTAAACCCAGAAGCTCTAGTCTCTTTTGGAGTTACTCTTCCTCAGTGCATTGAGCTTGAAAGGAGAATTTAGTGCACAAAATGTACTGTGCATTACTGAATGTTGGGAAGTGAAACACTATGAAGAGCTGCAGAAGGAAGTGGGTAGCATTTAGTGAAATAACTTCATTGATACTTATGTTCTCTAAAAAAATGTTGCTATATTCTGCTTTATAAAAAAGCTCCTAATCTTAATGTGACCCCATTATCCTTACAATGATTGATAAGTAAATTGATTATTTTAAATCTCATTCTAGTTGGAATGTTTGCTTTTTCCAGAGCTGGATATAGTCTACCTGAGTACCACTGTTTTTGCAGAAGAAAAGATTTTACTATAAAATTCTATGGGTCTAAATTTACGGTTCCTGTTTGCATGAGTAACTCCTGACTTCAGCATTATTACTCATGTAAGTATAGTTTTATACTGGAAAATGCCCTGTGTATTCCAAGCATTAATCGAAATCGAGAACAAACACAAGAATATGATTTCTCTCTCTTTTGATGCTAATTCTATTCCAAATTCATTGAGTAACATGGAAGAAAATGTGATTGCTTGTCAGTTTTTTATTGGGATAGAACACAGTGGATCTGGAAGTGTCACGTTTAGCTAAAGGCAACGATGCACAGTGTCTCAGCACCCAACTCCCACTGAATTTCAACAAGAGTTAACAAACAACCTTCCCTTGGGCTCCAGTGAAAACCCTGGGCTTAGTATCCGGTCTGAGCTGCAGTTTCACTTGCAGGAAATAAGCTTTTTTTGAGGTCTTTTAAGGTATTGTTTCCTGAAACACCAGAAGATAATTTGAGAGTAGAGAGAGCACTGCAATTCTATTACTACAATGTGAAAATGTTAAACTTTAGTATGAAAGGACTACTAAAAAAAAATAAATTCTCAAGATTGTTAGGATTACTGAATACCATAAACTGTTCCAAATCCAAGTCATAAACAAAACAGATCATCTTTTACATGTGCCAGGATACAATTTTATTGCTTCTCAGATAACACCGCATTTAGGCTTTTATTTAACTTGAGGGTACTGGGAGAGCAAAAACAGTTCACTTATGTCTTATGACATTTGTCCTTCTGTACGTTAGTGGAAGAGGTAGGGACTTTTCAGAGACATTGCTGGCAATGTCATAAGAAGTGCACATGAGTAGCTTAATAACTGTGCTAGTAAGAATGTGTAATCTCTGCCAGACTCTGATACCTAGATTTAATTACCTTCAGTTGGAAGATGTAAAATATTTCACCACAGTTCTTATGACCTTATAAAAATTACACTGTTTATAGAGGTCACAGTTCTGCATTGTCTCATGATGATTTTCACAAATTTGTTGAATTGCTTAAGTATATCACAACCTGGGAGTCTCAAAACCTCTCTGGACGGTTGTGTGGTCACCAGTGTGTGATGCTGTACAGCAAACCTTCAAGGAACCTCCAAGTGAACACTGTTGTGGAGCCCTAATCTCCTAGTATTAGTGTTCAGAACAAATTCTAGTGATAGCAATAGCAACTATGTCTAATGGACTTATTTCTAGCTTTCTTTTTTTTCTAATGAGGTGAAGAAGAAACAGTGGGTGCCCTAAGCCCAGCTGCTGTTTGTAGATGACCACCCAGTGCTGCAGGAGCTGCCAATGACCAGTGCTTTGGGAACTACTGGCTTGAAAGGCTTGGTTCCTGCTTTCACATCTTCCCTTTATGCTAGTCTGTGTCAGTGTTATTGCACCTTCGTAGTATCAAAAAGAAGTACATGTTTTACTGTGCTTATTTTAAAACCAGTATATTTAAAAACAACTAAACTTATCTAAGTTGGGTATATAAAAATATACATGTAATAGCTCACATTATACAGTAAAAAAGAAAGCACCTGCGTGAAAAGCTTACCCCTTTCTTTAGAAGGAAAGCTGTCTTCATGTAGTTGCATCAGTAACACTTACTTATATGTACATACATACAAACCAGAGCTTCGGTCACGTAAATCTGTCCTCTTATGTGGTACAGAAGGCCCAGAGGGCTGATATGTCTCATTCTTTCTCCATCACGGAACTGCTGCCATTCACACTGTGTGAACAAGAGTATGGCTTGGGTAAAGTGCGAAAAGCGTGAGGTAAATTATGCTCCATGTGGCATAATTCCTCCCAGGAAACAGCATAACCAACAGCCCACAAACAATTGTACATTATTCTGTTGTCAGAAGGAGCAGTTGTCACTATGAGCTCTACAGCCCTCGCTGAGGAATGCTGGCACAGGGTGTGGGACCACGTGTGCTGTTTCTGCACTGTGATGGGGGTTAGAGAGAAGGGCCAGTTGTAAATGTACTTGCAAAGCTATAAGGTAGAGGGCTGCTGGATACCTTCTTCAGCACCTCTGACTCAAACTAGGAGAGAAAAACAGTGTTGAGAAAAAGGTTCTGAATTTGCTGTGTCAAACCTTTTCTCTGTCTAAGAGGGTCAAAGCATAACTCTAAGTTGTTATATACAATTAAAAAAGATGACTAAGTAACAGTCTGTTTAAACATTCAGTTTCTTTCTAATCCTAGCTGCATTTCACTATAGTAAAAATGGGTATTTGAAGAAAACATTTCACTGTTAAAGATCATTGCAATTATGTTTTAGAAGTGCCTTTTCCAGATCAGGCTATTAAGAAAAGTTACCTTTTTATTTTTTCCAAAATAAAACTGTAGTAATTAGATATTGTATTTAACAGTATGAGAAAAAAAAGTAAAAAACTATTTCTACGCAGTTTCTGAGGTAATAAGCTGGCATGTTAAAAATATATTAATGCAAGTCATTCAGTTGTGAGTGTGTCCCTTGCCCACCTTCCCCAAAAAGAGGGGATGGACACGGTGATTTCAGTAAAGTGGAGAAAAGGTCTGTGGCATACTGGTTGGTACACTGTATCATAGTTCATCATGGTTTCTTGTGAGGTCCTCCCCGTAATTAGTAGCTTGACTTCCAACGAACATATTCCAGTTGTCTAAAACCTCCTCTTTTGTTAGCTTTTGATCCTGGTGGGAGGAAAATAAAATCTCTGTAAGAATATTTTCAAAGCTAAGTAAGACACATTAGCACAGATAAGAGCCCAGGGAAACAGACAGTTCTTCAAAGCAGCAGACTGCAGATTCAGGAATCATTGTAACTGTTTTGTGATGTTTCTAGGTTGGGCTCTTGGCTTCCACGGAGCGACCCTTAAGAGCAAGCTTTGATCTACTCCAAGCTATCAGCATAGAAAGGGAGACATGTCATATCTATCTAAATCTATCCTTAACAGAAATCTCCACTGATAGATGAAATTGTGGTGGGGTTTTTTTGGTTTGTTGGGGTTTTTTGTGGTTTGTTTGGGTTTGTTTTGGTTTTTTTTGAGTGAAATGTGGACTCCAGTGGAAGACAGAAGTCACACTGGCTTCAGTTAGGTCAAACTGCTAATTGAAAGTTCTTTGTAATTAACTTACTGACAAACAGTATATAGGTTATCTAGTACACAGTTTTTCCCTGTGGTTTGGTTTTGCCTTCCTGACGGTAAAAATGAAAATCCTCTGGTGTATTTTGTTGAAGATGGTTGCTTATGTTAGCAAGTTACACACTCTGTGTAAGAGTGTTTTGGCTTTTCAGATTCCAGCTTTGCTCACATTACACTCCTGAAGACCACTGTGTAGAATCTACTGAACCATTAATCTCTCATGTTAGAGGAAGTGGATGCATTGAGCCAGTCTTTTAAGTCAAAGATGTGTGTTTGATTATAGATTATTTTAGCTACTTCCTACGTAATGTCTCTTATTTTTCTCTTGCAGTCTAAATTAGCATACAAAAACCATGACCATTCTTAAAAGGAAAAAGAGTATTTCTGCTGTGTTAAGACTTCCAGGTTTAAGATGATAAACAATTTCTTATCTAACCTAATGAAAGCCAGTGGGACTTCTAGAGCTGCTAAACTGCATTTTACTACATTTGCTTTGTGATTCTGATGCTACCAACTGAAACTGGCATTGATACATTAACATGCTACCAATTCTAGCCTCTAAAATGTCATTTGAAATGTATTAATAAGAAAAGTTACTAGAAATAATTTCTTGCTAGCCACTATGTTAAAAAAATATATACACTACCTTATATAACTTTTATAAAAATACACTAGAACACTAAGTACCTTGTCTGCATCTGATTCATAAACTAAGTGCCTGGCTTCAGCCAGTGCATGATCATAGTCGTTTGGGAGAATCCAGTGCTGAATCTCTTCTTTGTCCATCTTTCCATCCTTGTTGAGGTCACGAAAATCCGCAAACTGTTCACGCTCTGTAACTACCCAGTCAGGTTCTGGTCCACCCTCTTCATTTGCAAACATATCAGCTGGAGAGGAAATAAGGGTCTCACTTGAGTCATATTTAATTTGCAAATTATGCACAAGCTAGACATTTGCGCAGCGTTCCTCAGAGGAAGACTAAACTTCTTATCCTTTGCACAGCATTTCTTTGTACAGAAAATTAAATGTGGGTGTAAATAGAGTAGCTGTGTGTATCTTCTCTCAGGTCTACTTCTTCACTGCTGGTGATGCTGTCCATCCTTGCACTACCCTTGTATCACAACTGTGCACTGCTGGTGAGGCTAACATGAGAGGTGAACCTGTTCAAAGGCCATCATCCACTGAATTTCAGAATGAAAAAAATTCTTTGGTTAAATAGTAATCATAAGCTTTAGTGCTGGGCTCAGACACATGGGGAGAAAGGAACTCGGCACTTTTATCTTGTTCCTACCAGCAAATGTCTTTGTGGATAAGATCTGAATCCAGCCAGCAGAGTGGTTAGGGGAAAAAAGGCACAGAGGAAATTTAGGAAAACAAAAATTGCTAAATTGAACTTGAATGCTTTTGTCCTGCTTTTAGAGAGGTCTGTGTAAGAGAAATTCATCTGAGTAGATGTGTCCTTTTCTAACCATGCAGTGCTGCAGCACACTGCAGGTATTCTTCTACAGAGAGACCTGGAGAAGTCATTAATCAGTGGTGCATTCTGTGTGAGAGACCACAGGCAGTGCACCTGTCATAGATTGGTACCTTGGGATGGAGTACCATTTGTGACATAGGATGCAGAGATTAGGTACATGAGCTGCTCTGTACATCAGTCCTGTGCTGTATTTAAGAAGCATAAGCAGGAAAATGCCACAGTGGCAGCAGCTATCCATGTAAACAGAGTTGGGAGAGTAGCAGTGATTATTAAGAGTAAGTGTATCTGTTCTTTACAGCATAGGCCTTCCAAACTATGAGTAGTGCGTCCACTTTATTCTTCTGGTCACCGTGGTCAACCAGTTGTTTCTTGCTTGTCAGGGCTGCCTACTCTTCAAGCTTTCCACTTTTCTACTCATACTTAAAGCCTGCTTTGTGATACTACTCCTATGCCTTGTGGGTTTTGTTTCAAGGACATACTAAGGAAAAGTGCAGCCCACATAGAGAGCCTCAGGGCCAGAAGCTGGCTGCTATCTACAGGAAGAATAAATGCTGGTCTCAAATCTAGGAATGACCTCCCCCCAGCCTGCAGCGTGAGCGCATACACTAGGCTAAAATTCTGTTGGTAGAACTGTCCACAGTGTCCCTGAAATACTCTCTTACCCACTCATGCAGTAAGAATTTAGTTCTCTCTACTTAACATGACCAGGGTTATTTTCACTGCTTGTGTAAAATCTAAACCAAATTTTGTAAAAGACAAAATAGGAGGAAGGAAGGAAGGAGGGAGGAGGAATCATTCTATAACCCTCAGCAGATTTCCCCATCAAATACCTGATCTAAAGACTGATTATTTTTGGACTTGTTCATTGTTCCTTATAGACTATCAAAGAAGAGAATTGGTTTTCTTTTTTTTTAACCCCAGCTTGATTAAAAATCAGAAATATTGTAACTGAAAAAGGGAAGTAGAAATATTTTCAGCATAGTTTTCCTCAACTCATGAAGAAAACTTCAGACAACGCATTCACTTTCTTTTTTAATTTTTTAAAGTGCAAATTATATTGTTTATTTGAAGCAACTGACATGTCCTGTCAATTTGATTTTTATCATCCTTGCCAGTGTGGGGTGATCGTGACTAGAACATTCTATGTTCCTATCTATAGAAGACAAGAAAAAACAGCATTCACATGGTAACAAATGTTGACAATTACCTTATAATTATATGTAGGTAATGTCACTGAGTGAACTGAAATTACTGTGGAAATTATGCTGCTCTGTTATTTCAGTCATAAATGAACAGCATTCACATTCTGAGGCTAAATATAATTTACAAGGAATAGAAACCCCCTGCCATTAATTAACATGTGTATATTGTTCCTGATTATATGTGAAGTGATCTTTATAGCACCACTAGAAACAGAAAGACTCATCTGAGTTTGCACTAATGCTTTCCTGGTGCTACTTTCTTGATTTAAAACCAATCAAAGTGATTGTGCTGGGAAGTTAGCTTTTGGTATCGGCATAACAATTCGAAAGGCTAAAATGTATTATGTACTGCTGATCTCCAGTCCTGCTTCCGTTTTGCCTTCATAGGTCTAACTACAAGACAGCAGCTAACTGCTTAGTGTGACTAAAGCCTGTGAAAATTAACTGTGATTGATCTGCTGTTGATGTTGCCCATTTTGTTCTCTCTCTGCCCCTGAAGTAATGCACAGCTGACTTTCACGCATTTCACAACTTCTCTGAGAATCTTAAATTTTAGTGCTACTTTTGCACAGTGCATTTTTAATGCGTCCTATATTTCTAGAAGAAACATAATGGTATTACCATACAAATCAATAAAGAAGTACAGGTTCTTACTTACTAATTAAATTAGGAAAATAAATAGCAGCAAAAAGGTGAATTTTCTATTTTGCAATGTATGCTTCACAGCTATTTGGCACAGTCAAGTATCATTCATACTTGGGAAGAGACTAATTTACTTTCTGATCCTCCTGCATTTCTACACCATGCCTTCAAAAAGCTGTTAATGGGATCAAGTATACAAAGAGTATTCCTGTCATGAAAAATATTATTCCAGACCCTCTTAGCCAAATTATATGAGACCAAGAAGAGGATCTTATGCTGTAAACTGCGAGGAACCTTTTGCTGGTTATGTTGCTATCGGCCTGGATTGGATGGTTGGTTTAAAACAGTTGAACTGCAGCACAAAAATGTTCATCTTTGGGTTGTTAATACTGCTGCAAACTTGAGAGAAGATGGACAAATGGACTGGAGATTATATAAGAAACAAACCTCAACACTCACCAATGTACTCATCCTGATCCACAAAACCATCCTCGTTTTTGTCTATGTCTTCTAAGGTTTCCTGGAAAACAATTTTGCACTGAAGTAATCAAGAGAGAACAAAGAATTCTGGTTCCGCGCCTCCCCAATCATTTCATGTTTGAGGCCTTAACTTGCCCTTGTACACAGGCAAATGCACTCTCACTGATTCCAGTGTGATTGTTGTTTACACAATGTATATACAAATATCCTTTAATGTTGAAAAAACTCCCTGCACATGAATGAACTGGACACCACGCTTAAGTCTTAAACTAGGGGCAGATACAAGCTTGTCTCAAACACTTAGCTTCTGCATGTCAGCATACTCTTCCTTTCATTTTGCTGTTAAGTCTGTGCCCCAAGATTGTTTCTTGATTCCATTTAGGAGCTGTCTAAGTGAATTTAACAAGTCTTTCTTATGCTGAGAACTCTAAATCAAGTGAATTTCATGAAAGGCAACCCTTTCTGTTCCCTACCTGGCTATAAGGTTTGTGTCTTTTTCTAAATCCTGCATGGTAAGGTTAGAGAAGCATTTCAAAGCTCATCCAAAAAAAAAAAATAAAAGTCAAAACAATGGCATTGTTTTTGCTCTGCTTACTAAAACGACAATGTTTTTCATATGCTCAAACTCCTCTGGGTGAAGGAAAGCAGTGAATTCTTCACGAGTGGCAGCTAAGTCTCCATCCAGGTCTGCAGTTTTGAATCGTCTTTCATCTCTGGGCAGCATTTTTTTAAAACTGTGCTGATCGGTTGCATCTTGGAATTCTTCAGGATTTTCTGCAAATTAAGAAGATCTCAAAACTATGTTCCTTTTAAAATATATTACCACAATGGAGTACCCCAATTTGCTGTTAGAGTCTAGAAACAGAAAGGCTTATTGCCGTGTTACAACGGAACTTCTCCGTCCTGTGAAGTTTTAAATTCAGGGCTCAAGCACTTGGTTTGATTTTTAAAAGTGACTTAATATAGGTAAAAGTTTGAGTAAGCCTTCTGCTGGAATCCAGGATAATGAATTTTGCAGTACTGTATATCATCCTTCATAGATATATATTTTTTTTTTAATCTGCTTTTACAAGCACTACTTAGGTAGTATTTGGGGTAGATTTCATTCACAGAAGTTTTATTCTTCTTAGGAATCAGTATGATCTACACAACTCTTCAGCTTCAAAAAGCAAGCAAGCTAAAGGAAAGTGGTTTCAGAAGCTGGCAGACTGAAATTATCTAACTGCTACACCTCTGCTACAGGGAACCTAACAATTATTTTCAGTTTAAAATAATGACATTTTTTCAGGGTGTTCAGTGGCATAAAATGAATGGTATTTGATATAATTTTTAAAATAAGATCACTAGACTGACTTCAAACATGTAAAATACTCATAACAAATTCATAATTTGCATTTTGTGAGGCGAACACAGTTGAAAAAGACTAGGTTAGGAATCACAGATGGGCATTTCAAGTGTGCATTAACACAAGATCACAATGTAGTAGCTGTTCTCCAAGTCTTGAGGATTACAGAGAGCTAGGACAAAGAGCTGAGCAGGGCTCCCAGGGACACTGCTGAAGGGATGGTGTGTCAGATATTTCCTTCCACAACTCCATTTTAATCTAAGGTAGACTTTGGAATTATTACTGCTACTGGAAGCTTGCTCCAGAAACTCCCTCTATGGTAGGTAGATACTGTTTTCTCATTTCCAGTATAAATGGTCAATTAATACCAATTTGTTGTTCTGTCAGCATTGCCCTTTAGCTTAAGTGATCTCTTCTTCTCCTTTCCCTTCATTAACTTATAAAAAGCAAAGGGAACGTATGTGGGAGAGAAAAAGATTCAGGTATATTTTTAATACATGTTTCTTTTGCCTGATTTGTTATGGATTTTCATTTGCAGTTGATCACAGTCTGAAGCATGTTATTCTGCAAGAACTATTTTAATCAATAACTTTGATATAGCTTAGACCCAGCCTAAATTCTTAGCATCTAGAATCTTAAAAGTTTAGAGAGGCTGAATTAACAAATACTGGTTAATTACATAATATATTATTTTTTCATTAAAGTACCTTTTTTAATGTTAAAAAAATATCTCTAACTGGAGGAGACTTTAATTCAGCATTGTCAGCACATTTAATAAGCCCTCTACAAAACCTCCTGTGTTCTGGTGACCCATGTGGAAATAGCTGCAATAAACAACTAAGAAGTGCTTTTGACCTCTGAGCATCTATAAAATTTAATGTAATTTTCAAGAGTTCTAAATGTGACACCAAACTCCTGGTGACTGTAAGGCATGAAATCATGCCTTATAATCTCAATAGTCTTTGATCATATAATCTGAAAATGTTATCTTACCTAGATAATAACCGTATGTGGCTTGTTTGTACTCTTCCCAGGCAATTTTATTGTCCTTGTTTAGATCATAGTCTTTCCAAACTTTAGCCACATTTTCATAGATATAGCGTTTCTGTACCCGTTTAATCCAGTTTTTTAATTCCTCTGTTGTGAGATAGCCGTCTTTGTTGTCATCTATTCTATCCACAATTTTCCTGTAAAAAGAGACCAGCATTGTTTAGAGTTGACAGAAAAACAAACAACATGTCAGTCCAATTTCAGTAATCTTTATCTGGTCCTGATTCTCCACAAAAATGCAGTGCATATAACTGATAAAGCTGCCCAACTGGCTAAGGCTTTCTTGGATTTTGCAGGTTATTTTAAGGGATATGTCTCTATTTATTATTCAGTATTGCTGTGAATAATTGAAACAGAACTTGCACGATCAAAATTAGTGACCAAGTACCTCAGATACTAACTGGATTTCTTAGGTTGTATCTACTAACCTAGGGGGTCCTGTTCTTCCCTGTCAATAGGGAGTGGCCATGCTGGGCTCACAGTAGGGGACCCTAACTTCACCTGGGGAGAAAGCCTGTACTGCAGCTTGCTGGAGCAACCAGGGCAAAAAACTAAGGATTTCGTGGACACCTGCGGTTTCTCCTGGGGCTTTCCAACAGTCTGACACTAGAATGGAGTGAGTTATATGGCTCTGTAACATAGCCCTGGGACCCCAATCCTAGCACTGGTCATTGGGATGACCAATGTGCTACCACCCTTTCTAAGCAAGGTAAAATGACTTACAAATGCAGCAGCATCCACTTTAGAGGTTAGAACAGCAGACTATATGTTTCAGTTTTCTCCCAGAAAGCAGTTAAAAGCCAGTCACTTTCTGAATACTATTTGTAACCCTCACTGCAGAGGCTGCCCATAACAAAACTGTTTTTTTCAGTATATCTGATTATTAATCCACAATAAAAAGAAGAAAGAGAAATGTTTTTAAAATCCTCTCTCTCCTCTACCTCCAAGTATGCTATGTGAAATTACAAGGTTAGGAAATACTGAAAGTTATGAAACTTTGCCACAGGGCCCCCAAGAACCACATCTCTGATGTTCTGTGGCACAATGCTCACCCCACAATGGGGGCTTCAGTCCTCGGAAGGACACTTTAGTCACCTCCCTTTAAAAGGTAATTGACTGTGGCTGTAGCTGAACATGCTTGTGTCACCTATCCAAGGTGTCCACAGTGAGATCACTAAAAGTTAAGCTCCCTCCCTTGCTGAGTTAGTGTTTGTAAAAATTGTTTAAAACCAGTTGTACTGTTAAATCATATCCGCAACTGAAATATCTATACTGGTGTAAGTGTAGACCAATTTTAAAAAGGCATGTCCATTTTAATGGTATACTTTATGAGAATCCAAGTTATAGATCATATGGTTTCTTTTGCTCCTTCTTGAAACAATGTGGATGGAATTGGTCACTTCTGATAACCACTTTATCTGTTTACTCACCGAGATACATGTAAATAGTAGTGCCAGCTTCCAGAAGGATCAAGAGGTCAGTCAGTGGGATAAGTGATACCGCACTAAGAGGTTATGATGGAACTAGACAGACATACAATGAATAAGCACTACTCCCTATGGAAGGGAAGTAAAGGCAAAGGTGATCTTAGTCAGAACATGCAGATATTTTAAACTATTTTCTTGTTAGTAACTACATAAAAGGATCTTTAACTACTGTTAAACTTGGTTCTAATTAGTGATCTGACTTCCTGTAGGTGTAAAGGAGGGAGAAGCAGTAAAATAAGGCACAGCTGTTGCATGGACTCTGTTCTCGGCATAAAGAGCAGCACAGAAGCAAGAGTAAAGCGGGCAAAGATGTCACAAGTGGAAAACCTTCAAGTGGACTCCTACAAGGAGCTGTAAAGAAAGAATGGTTTAAACTTGATTGAAACAAGTAAGGTCCAGGTAAGTGACCCAAAGGTAAGGAGCTGTAGCAGCAAAGCACTCCCACAGCGGGTGAGGTGAGGTCTGTCCAGCACTGGGCACAGCACTACATACAGCAGTTCCTTGCACAAGTCTTATTGCTGTAGGACCAGAAAATGCAGAAGAGAAACACAAAAGTGACGAATAGATACTTAGAGCTGAGCATCTCTCCTACGAGGACAGGCTCAGAGAGTTGGGGCTGTTCAGCCTGGAGAAGGCTCCAGGGAGACCTTCTAGTGGCCTCCCAGTACCTGAAGGGGCTACAGGAAGGCTGAGGAGGGACTTTTGACAAGGGCAGGGAGTGACAGAACATGGGGTAATGGCTTCAAACTGGAAGAGGGGAGATTTAGATTAGACATTAGGAAGAAATTCTCTCCTGTG